CATTATCTAAATTTTGAAATAATTGTTTGCACCTTTAACCTTCAGTCCTCTCTTTTGCTGTAACCTGTTGCTGCATGTCTCAAAATATTGTTTACTGCAACACATTTTCATTTTGATTAGATATTTAGTAAACCTCAACACTAAGCTGTAATTCTCTTGTGTTTGTTTGTTTATTATCGTTTGATGTGCTTTTTTTCTCTTCACGCATCACTTTTCTTTCAACAGAGTTAACTGTGAGCGGAGGCGTCTGAGTGGGCATGTGGCTTCTGGAGAAGCTCCGCAGCTCTGTGGAGAGCAGTGGGACAAAATCGAAGTCCCCACACACAACACAGGCCATTCCTGTCTCTGTCTATGCCAACGTACTCACTCCAGGAAAGATCCCTGATTTCTTCATCCCCCCCAAACTTATTTGCTGCCCACCAGAGGAGTCTCTTATCCGAGAGTCTAAGAACTGCTCCACATTACGACCCTCTGTGTCTGACCATGCCATCTGTAGCCAGAGCCCCAAAGCTCGGAGAAGCAACAACCCCAGCAGCCCCGGCCTCTTTTCACGCCTGGGAGGGGACACACGCAACCTCCAGAGGTCAGCCAACCGCCACATCATCCAAATAGAGAGTGCTGATGAGCCAGGTGCCGGATCTAGGGACAGGGCCAGTGTCAACACGAATGCTGACCCTCAGTCACAGACTGCAATGTCTCTGCCGTATGTCCCCAAAGCTCAGACTTCATATGGCTTCTCCACCCTGGTGGAGTCTCCTCACACCCGCCGCAAGGAGAGCCTGTTCCACAGCGACCCGGGCAGCCCTCTCACCTCCCCAAACTCCCAGAGGCGAACCCATGGGGGGACCCTTCTGGCCCCATCTGACTCCAACCCCTACCGCTATTTTAGCGGTGGAGAAAGCGACACCTGCTCCTCAGCAGAGTCGTCCCCCTTTACCTCCCCTCTCCTGTCCCGCTCTGCCTCTCTCCTACGCTCCATCACCCAGGAGACACAAGCCAAGGTCAGGCCCTTTAAGCATAAGTGTGTATTGGGAATGGCTGCCATGAAGCTGAAACGTGTTACACAAGTTTTTTTCCTTGTTTGATTCACCATGAGGCTACTTTATGTGTGTTTACTAGTTCCTTTTTGTCTCTCCCTCCAGGTGTCTCGTGCCAAGCGCTCTCTGGCACGCCACAGTTCTCTCTCCACTGATGAATGCAGTTCAGCAGACAATAGTCCCAACATGCAGCGCCGCCGCCTGCGCTGCCCCCCCTCTCCAGCTTTTCGTGGATGTAAAAGCCGCAGCTCAAGGGCTGCAGATTTAGACCTCCTGCAGCGTGAGCACACCATCAACCTCCACAAGGGGGGGTCACTGAGGCTGAGCACACACTATGAGCCAGAGGCATCTCGTCTGAGGGTGCGCGTGCTGACAGCCGAGGCCCTCTATGACAGGCAGACGGACCTCAAAAGCATCAACTGCTGTGTGGCACTCTACCTGAACCCTGGCAAGCAGCAAAAACAGAGAAGCACCATCATCAAGAATAGCAGGAATCCAGTTTTCAACGAGGACTTCTTTTTTGAAGAGCTGTCCCAGGCACAAGTAAAGAGCCTGGCCATGAAGATTAAGGTAGTGAACAAAGGAACCAGTCTGAGGAGAAACGTGCTTCTAGGAGAAAGGGAAGTGCTGCTCAGTGAGCTGCTGGCAGGCCTCTAGGGAGCCACTGTCAAGACTGCGGGTGAAAACAAGTAGCTCCAAATCTTAAGGGGCCATTCTTCTCTCTCTGGCTACCCTTGTATCACGCTGAACATATGTGATAAATACTGGGCAGGGTAAAAGTTACCGATGACAAGGGAGTTGAATCTTGCACACTGTGTTATACTGTACATAAAGAGACAAGCTCAAGCCCCTGTAGAATACAAACGTTCCACTTTATCACTGTCCTGGTTCACTACCAAGAGTACCAGTCAATCAGCAATGTGAAAAGTGGAGAAATTGTCCTTGTTTTTTGTATTCTCTTGAAGTATTGAGTTACATAATGTGTTGCGTTCTCTCATGAGCATTGTAATGCTGTGCCTCAATATCATGTCAGCTGTGATGCAGTGATGATCTTGTTAGGGTTGGAGCTGTAGTTTTTGTAATAATGTAGTAATATTACGTGTAGGTTTTGCACGTTCCTGTAGAAGATAATAATGCCTCTGTGTAGTTGAAAGAGTTTATATTTGGAAAAAAGGAATTTTGCAAGTGGGTGTTATGTTAATATGATTGTTGTTATGTGACATGCTTTTGAACGTAAGAATAAAAACACTAAACTCTCACTGATGTTGTTTTATCCTGCAGCTTTTTCTCAGTGCTTGTGTCCTATAATAATTGTGTTGGATCAAAATAAAGCCCTAGGAATCTATAATAAAGCCTCCATGCTCCCTAACCTTTCCCTTCTGTAAACAAGTACGAGGCTTCAACCTCTGAGACAGACACAGGCATGGGTGTCATATGTGAAGCTTTTAATCCTAGTATTATCTATATATCTGTGCATTCAAACTCTCTGTTTAATTTTTAAAACATGTTTGCTACTCAGGCTCTCCTCCAGTGAGGTTTAAATAGTTATTAAAGATGACAATCGTGGTTGCTAAAATGAAAACTTTCCTGTTCTATAGTCATGTGTACAGTGAGGCTATGTATTGATTTATATGTTCAATAATTTGGATGATAAATGTAAATGAATTTGGGCTGAGGGAAAACATGTACAAAACATATTGTCCACACAAATACATCTGTCAGGCAAAGATGATCCAATGAGTATTAGCCTAAGCATTAGTGGATCTTATGCCTCCTCTACTGGTGAATCATCAGAATGACACCTCACAATAACCCTAGAAGCACTACAGTGCATTCAAAGCATCTTGGCAATTTCTTATTGACTGGTGAACTAACCTGGGTGTCTCCCGTCTTCTGTCCATATGCAATAGGCGCTCTCATGACCCTGACAAAGAGAGAAAAATAGATTTAATATATCAATTGCTTGTACCACACGAAAACAAGTCACCACAACTACCCATGTGGGATGCAATCATCTCTGGGCTTCATACATTTATTTAAATTAAATGTATCTCCCAGAGTCTTGAATGCAACAAGAAAAAACATTTTGTAATTAGTTTTGCCTCTGTGGACTTGGTGAGGCAATTCAATTAAAACGAATAGTCTAATAATGTCTGAATTACACATAAAATCAGCCTATAATCATGATCAACTTTTTCCCCCCACTGTTATTAAAGTCGCTGAAAACGTATTTTCTCAATTCTTACTTGTCCTTGGTTCAATTAAAATCAAATATTTCTGTCTGTTCTGTTTTTCAGGTCACAGTTGGAAATATTGATGTTGTGTTAAATCCAATATTCTATGGGTCAAACGGTAGACAAATAAGTTAAGCAGTCAGGACAGCTCTCTGTGATATTGACAGATTTAATTGATACTTTGCTAAAGATAAACTTCAGGTGTTTCCCAGGCCATTTAGAATTTAAATCAAGTGACAATCACATCTGCTATTTGACAAGGAAATGTGTTCAGTTTATCAATATCACACATTCTTGCTTCCAGCAAAGCAATTATTTTAACCCTTCAGTAGTTTGATGCGCATGGTCTGAATTTCCACTGATAGATTATTTTTACTCTATTTAAATTAAGCAGACTTAGTTTTAGCTTGACTTTGTATTTCAGAAATCTTTTTATATTATATAAATATTACATACACATTTTACATTTTTTCAAGGAGTATGTTAGTTTTCATCTCTTGGTTTAAGATATAACTGAACATTATTGCCATCCTGATCTTTGTGATGATGTTGGCCAGCATACTGAGATGCAGAAGAAAAAGTCAATATACCCATTCAACTCAATGTTAGTCTCGGCATCATACACATCAATATTCAAGTCAATATACAAGTCAATATTCTGGCAACTGGCTTGTAATATAGATTAAGGTGATCTCCTCAAGATCAGCCATATATGTTCCCATCTCAATTCCACATAAACTTACTTTAGCCTATGTTTATTTGCTCTAAACTTCTCTCCTTTGTTATAGTGTTCTTAAGATGAGATAGTTATCAAGGTGCTATTGGAATTAAAGGGAAACTAATTACTTCCCGATAGTCGCACAAATACAACATAATCACCAAAATGCTGTGCTCTCTTTCCTACACAATTACATTCAATCCACCATAGACAATGCTACCAAAACAATATTTACGGTCCTGTCTTAATGAGGGAGTATGGTGCAGCCACCTTGTTATTCACTGCCCTATTCTTGTGACATGACTGCAGAAGCCTCTCGGCTGTTGCAAGCAGATTATTTGCAGATGATGAGGTCTCTGTGTCAGGTGACAGTGTTGATCATTTCAGCTGTTCTTTAGCCTGACTCATGACTGAAACTGTATTAAGTATAGGGATTTTTTGTAAATGTTGTTTTTGGGTAATTTTTGATAAACAATAAAATGAGCATTTGTGTGAGTTTCTGCATTTTTCATCATCATGTAACTGGAAGAAATTATATTTTGTGCAGGGGAAAAAAAATCCACAAAATGCATTTTTAAAGTCAAATGTATCTGTTTATGTATCAGAAGCCTAATCACACATTATTGTATAATTGTTTGAATATCACTTGCAGGGATATCCATAGGAACCCCACTCTCGACGATCTAATGTCAATTGTTTTTATTGTGTTAGACAGTTTGTACATATTGTTGATGGGAATCAATTTACCGCCTAAATTGAGTACTTTCTGAGAGTTAGGATCAGTGAGCCGCGGATCAGCTGGCTCTCTGTCCATCTGAACAACCCGTGGAACAACCATAACAAACGAACCCATCAGCTGTTAGGTCATTGAAGTCAAATGCATCATGGGAAATGAAGTTCTGTATGAAGGAAAACGCCTTCTGTTTTAGAAAGAGGGAATTCCATCAAAACTACGTCACCCACAATGCCTCGCAGCAACCGTAAACATAGACCTGTCAAAAAACACAAACGCCATCTTGACAGCACCCTCAAAATGGCAGAAAGATGTGAGCTAGAAACCGAGTCCAAACTAAGATTCCTGCTGTCTGTTATTTAAAACAGCACTCGCCAGTTTTTCCATAAACGAGTGGTTATGGGGTTGGTGCTCTACGCGGCAGTTTACAGCCAGTAAAATGGATATACCGACGGCGGTTTTCAACGCGGCGAAAGATGGTAAGCTGAAACTTATCCAGAAGTTGCTGAGCAACAAAACTCCTGAGGAGCTGGAGGCTTTAGCCGAGGAGAAAACCCAGGGAGGAACTCCTCTGCTGATAGCCTCTCGATACGGACACTTAGAAGTTGCAGACTACCTACTTGAACATTGTAAAGCAAATGTTGAACTCGGGGGGGCTGTTAACTTTGACGGCGAGACCATCGAGGGGGCTCCTCCGCTGTGGGCAGCCTCTGCCGCCGGTCACCTGCCTGTGGTGAAGACGCTACTGAAACACGGTGCCTCGGTGAACAACGCGACACTAACTAACTCAACGCCGCTCCGAGCTGCCTGCTTTGACGGCCACCTGGAGATCGTCCGCTACCTGGTGGAGCACAAAGCTGACATGGAGGTAGCCAACCGCCATGGTCATACCTGCCTCATGATCTCCTGTTACAAGGGCCACAAGGAGATAGCCAAGTTCCTACTGGACCGCGGTGCAGATGTCAACCGCAAGAGTGTCAAAGGGAACACCGCCCTGCACGACTGTGCGGAGTCAGGCAGTCTGGACATCATGAAGATGCTGCTAAAGTGCAATGCTCGCATGGAGAGAGATGGATATGGAATGACCCCACTCCTCGCTGCAAGTGTTACAGGTCACACCAACATTGTAGAATATCTGGCCCACCAGCCTCGCACCTCCAGAGAGGAACGAATCGATGCACTCGAACTCCTTGGGGCTACTTTTGTGGACAAAAAACGGGATCTTTTGGGGGCGATGAGGTACTGGAGAAGGGCCATGGAGCTGAGACAACCAGGGGACAAATGTGGATCCCTAGCTAAGCCCCCACCTGGCCCTCCTATCCCGGCCTATGGCTGTGCACAGGAGGTGACAACTGCAGAGGAACTGGAAGCCTTGATCACAGATCCTGACGAAATGAGGATGCAGGCTTTGTTGGTAAGAGAACGCATCCTGGGCCCATCCCACCCAGACACCTCATACTACATCCGCTACAGAGGAGCTGTGTATGCTGACTCCGGCAACTTTGAACGCTGCATCAGCCTGTGGAAATATGCTTTAGACATGCAGCAGAGCAACTTGGACCCTCTCAGTCCCATGACAGCCTCCAGCTTCCTATCCTTTGCAGAGCTTTTCTCTTTTGTACTTCAAGACCGGGCCAAAGGCACCCTGTCAACACGCGTCACTTTCCACGATCTCATGACAGTGCTGGTGAAAAGTGTGAGGGAAGTGGAGAGAGCGGTGGCCCAGAGGGACAACCCTCCAGAGGCTCCTCAGTTCACCAAAGCTCTCTCCATCATCCTGCACCTCATCTTTCTGCTTGAGAAGCTTGAGTGCACCCCGGAGCAGGAGCACCAGAAGAAGCACACAGTGTATCGCCTGCTGAAGCTGAACCCTCGAGGACGCAGTGGCTTTACTCCTCTCCACATGGCTGTAGATAAAGAGACCACCTCTGTGGGCCGCTACCCTGTGGGCCGCTTCCCCTCCCAGGCGGTGGCAGCGCTGCTCCTGGAGTGTGGCGCAGATGTTGATTCACGTGACAGTGAAAACAACACGCCTGTGCACATTGCTGCTAACAACGGTTGTCCGGAGATTATGGCACTACTTATGAAAGCCGGGGCTCACTTTGACGCTACAAATGCAGAGAGGAAGACAGCCTACGAGCTGCTGGATGAGCAGAGCAGCGGGCACCCGGCCCTCTACCCACTGAGCTACGTCACCCTTCAGTGCCTGGCGGCGCGTGCAATTGAAAAGCACAGACTGCCCTACAGGGGACTCATCTCTGAGGAGATGGAGGCTTTCATTGAACTGCACTGACTTGCACTACTGTCCCCTGATGAGAAACCCCTGCACTGTTCTTCCTGTTGTCCACTATGACCTGGCACAAACTTCCCTCTCCACACCAAGCTCCTCATCTTTGTCTCCTTTTGGCCCCTGCTTTGCTCCTGGCCCCACCAACCTTGTGTCACACCAAACCATAGCAATAGATATCTGGCTATCTGTGGTCAGTTATCACTCAATCGTAACACTTAAGTCACATGGACTTTACATTTTTGTAGTGCTATTTAAAGCTGGGTGAAACTTCAATTTGTTATAGGCTTTAATGCGTTTCCCTTAAAAAAGAGACTGGTGGTGCTGGTGTGTGTTTAGTGGTGGCTGGACTGTATGAAAGATGTTTAAATTGTACTGCATCTGATCAAACCAGCCAGATAACATGCATGAAGATGAATAGTGAATATCATCTGCTATTTTTCTTTGAAATTGGAAGGTGTTTGAATTTGCAGTGCCAAATGTCAGCTATGTTCCGTTACAGACTGCAAAGTGATGGCAAAATGAAAAGTACCAAAGTTATTATCCTTATTATTTACGAGCAAAAGTAATGACATAAGGATCAGGAACTCAAGTTCGGAAAGGACAAAGAGCTTGTATTTATTGTTTAGCGAACACTCCCAGTCTCCACACATGTTTACCTATGCAGTTTGTTGATATTCCAGCCAATGTTTTTAAGCAAAGAATTCACTACATTAACAGAATTTACATTGGATTGTTATCCAGTATTTGGCTCAAACCTGGGGCGGCCTCTTTGATGAGGAAATGTTATCTTTTTAATTTATGAATGTTTTCTTAAAACTTCTGCCTATGTCTGAATGAGCACTTTTTAAACTAAAGCCCAAAGATGTGCCTACATCTCTTCTGGGTTATTTCAACATCGCCAAAGATATTCAGTTCACTCAGTCAAAGAAGCATCTTCAGAATTAGGCCGTTTTGTGAAGATAAAACAGCTTAAGCCCCTTTTTGTTTTATTCCTATGGGGTTAAAGTCACATGTTAACTGTCTGAGATCATGTGTAAATTCTGGTTTGGAGTGAATTTTCCCTTTAACCTCAGATGCAGTTCACAGAAATGGAACTGGCAGTTCCTGCATCTTAGTCTTATTGTAATTGTTCTTTTGTTCATCTTGTGTTATCATGAATGTTTGGTCAGTCATTCGTCTGTGCTAAGCACCACCAAGTTGAATGCACACCGAGAGGCTCTAAATCCAAAATGGACAACTCCCATTCAGGCTTTGAACTGATGCTGCCTTTTTCTTCTCAACTGATTCGTTTAACTGATGGTAACTCGAGAACAAAAGTGAGTTGCAGATACTTGAATAAAATTCAGTATCTCAACATAATCTGTGTGCTTCCGTGATGTGTGGGTGAACTCGGTTTTGCTGTGTCTTTTATACATGTGTAATATCTTTTTGATATGGGAATTTATCATTAAGTATCTGAAAACTGAAAATCAATCTCTCTTTCTGTGCCTCAGGGTTGTCACTAGTTCTTCAGCTCGAGTGGTTTTGCTTAAAATGGCAGCATTTGCATTAAGAGCATCATTAAATATATTTCGATGGATAGAAATGGGTGCAGTAGCAGAACATAACAACCCTAGGAACCCGAAAGAGCAGCCAAGGCTATAACAATATCTAATTTAGAGTTAGTCTAGAGTTCATGCAAAGTGTTACATTAACAGGATGTAAAAAAAATAATGGCAGCTCTTTAATTCAGATCTTTATACCAAACATGGGCGTTCCACTGCTCTGCAGACTTAAACTTGAGGGCACAGAAATAAAGCATAACAGAAACGTGATCTTTCTGAGTCCTGCACTCTGAAAGTATAAATAGACTGCAATTAACGTCACTGCTGCAGGGCAGCGGTAGAGACAGGACACTTACCCTGCTAATTTTAGGGATCTTTGCCCTAGCTTAAACTCTGGAAATGGGAATACTGTAACGCTATACAGTGAGACAGGTCACGGGGTGACTGGCAGAGATTGCACACAGACAACAGAGACAGGAAACAGGCAAAATAAGATCTTGCTTATGTTATAGTCGAGGCTTTTGGGATAATAAGCTGCAACAAAAATATATATAATGTAGTATTGTTACTGTACTGTACATGTGACTGGTGTCATGTTGTGAGTATGGGGGAAGCAGCAGCAGCTGGTAAGGAGGGGTTCAAGTCCCTGTGACATTCTGTACATCTACCCTCCTAAATAAGATCATACATATGAGAGCTCCCCTATAGCTGACCTTTGACCTTTCTGTAAAGGGTGCAAGTGGATTGAGGTAGACATTGGATGTAAATGGAAACGTTTCTATTAAAAGCAGGACAGGTGTTAACAGGTCAAAGACAGCTTCAATTGTTTTTGTTTGGAAACAGGAGAGAAAATACTGTATGTCCAATCCTGCATACATTATAGACAGAAACGAATTATTTGTTGTCATTTCAGTGCTTGTCTTTAGTTTCATTCAGTTAAAACATATGTTTTCAGAGCAACACAAGGAACTGTCTCACCTGATGATAGATTATTTAACCTCCTGTAAAAATGCTTCCAATCTCAAGTAAATGCAACATCACATGATAGTAACCACTAGATGTCACTAGCAACAAAGAAAGTCAAACAGGTGCTGCAGCCTTTACATACACTCAAGAACTGTAGCTCCCAATTAGCCTCCCAAGTGAGGGCAGTGAATTAACTTCCCCTGTCTCTTTCTCACACTTTCATGGTGTCAAGAGAGCCACAAAGACAGAGCATGAGTTGTTACCAGTGATTTTTACTAAGCTGTTAGAGAGGGCTGAATACACATTTGTAATGTCTCTGGATGAACAGAAATTCAGGCAGGCAGATTTGCTGAGCCTTTTATTACAGAGCGCTGTTTGAGGATCAGCAAATAAGTTAAAATGAAGCCTCCTTCCTCCACAGTCCCGAAGCAACATGCCAACTCCAACACCACACACAAACAACACCTTAGATGTTGGCCTTGTGGCGGCTGTGTCATGTTGTGTGACCTAAATAGGAGCCCATCTTAAAAAACAAAAGGCTTTGTTCCTCTATATACCATGCTTTAGAGCTAAAGAAAACGGCTTTGTGGTCTTTATTAGTTGTTTATTCATTTTTCAATTTCATCTTTATTTCGTAATAGATTCCATCCGGAAATAGGGTCGGTATTTTAACATGCTGTTCATATCATTAGGCAAAGGTCAGACACTCAATAAAAATGTGTTTCTTGGCAAATACAGTCAGTCATCCTTTGTTTGCCTGCAGCCATTTCCGTTTAATGCATTCTCACTAGCTGCCAAAATAGTTATAGTTTATTGGACATTTTGCCTAAATATAATGGGACATAAGGACAACTATTGTAATTGGACCAACCCTGAAAATCTACTTGTCATGTTTAGACACCATTCTGATCCACATTTCTTGTAAAATAATTTAAAAAAACACCTGAGAGGCTTTTTTAGGGGCAATTTATGAGGATTTATAAAAAATTGTCTATGCTTTCATTAAATGAGGTGCACGAGAATGAGGCAGTAGGCCTATAATTGACAAAAAATGACCATGAAATTGAATCAACACATTTCTAAAACATGTTTTTAATCAAATTAAACTGCAGACCTCCTGTAATATACTGCATTGGTTTTGAGCAAACCTGATAAACGGACTACTACTGAGCACATCGAACGGTAAGGTTATCCTCTCATCTATTGTCCTCAAAATAAGTAACCTTATCTTATCCTATACTTGAATCTACCTCCTGTGTTTTTAATATATTCCCCCAATGTCCCACCGTGAGTGGTGTTCACCCTACATTTATAAAAGTGTCCATGCTGAAATCTAGTTTGGAGTTGTGCTCTGCAGGAGCAGATATGGGCTCTGACTTCCTGCCAGCAGCTATAATTAGACTCTATATTATGGGAATCTACGGGGTTTCAAGGTGCTTATCTTCATTTTGGCCCCCGGGGAGCACAGTGTAAAAATCAGTCACCAACACACAGGGCCGGCCTATACCTCAGCTCTACTTCTTTTGCAGCAGTCAGCATGCAGCCAGAGCTGGAGGAGCTGGGGTTGGAAATGGGGGTAAATAGGGGTGATGGGGGATACGGTTGCTATTGGAGATCTTTCCTGCATCACGTCATGTGTTGGGGGGGG